GAGGTTATCCAGGAGAACATCCTGCTGAAGACACACTCCCAGCTCCTCTCTGACCTTGGACAAATCTGTCTGCAGGTTCTTGCCATTTATGATGATGGTTCCAGAAGTAGGAGGGTAGAGCCCCATCAACATGGATCTGCAGAGAACAAAGATTCAGCACAAACAACACTTGGATGTTCCAACCATCAGTGAGCCACTCAGCTTACAAAGAACTCACACCTTCTTCTGACCAGTTTTCCACATGGTCAATTAAAATATAAGGAATTTGTGGGGATGTTGGTTTGTCTAACTATGGAAGGTAGACATATGCATATGTTCTGTCTCCCAGGGGATAAAGTGTGATAGTAGACATCTACAATTCTGTCACACTTGAGCGAAAAGTCTGAATGAAAGAAGGTAAAGCTCAGTTCCATTGATATGTAATTCTAGAATAAATAAACAAATTAGCAAATAGTATGTCAGTGGCCATTCAGGGACCAGGGCCAAAGATGATACAGGAAATCTTGGAAAGGGAAACAAATGTTCTATGTCTTCACTGTTGTGTTTGTTCTGACATCACACAAATATGCCAGCCCTTTACTGAACTACATCATAAACACACTGCATTGACTTACAAAAATTATGTCTTAAGAAATTCAATAGGTGAATATTTGTTATAATCATTTCCAAGCCTATTTGGGAATACAATAAAGTCATAAGTATAATGATCCCTCAAGTATCCTTGGGAGTTGGTTCCACAACAGCCCCCTTATACCAAATTTTAGATACTCCAGTTTAACACACAAAAATGTCAGTATGTATGCAGTACATATAATTTTTCTATGTACTTTAAAACAATCACATATTGTGTTTTTTAATGAATGATGACAAGAAAAAAATAACCGTACATTTTTAGAGCAGATGTAATATTCTTCAGACAGTATTGATCTGTGCTAGGCAAATCCATGGAAGTGGACTCTGTGGACAGAGACCCAACTGTATCAGCTCTGTATGATTCTCAGAGATCTTTGTTTTACATGGTAAAGACCCAGTTTTCATAAGTTGTCTCTCAGGCTCCAAGTACTGCAGTGAGTAAGGGACAAGCACTTAAGATGACTCCAAATGTCAACAAAAGCCAAGCAGTGAGTAAGCCCTGAAACATCCAGAACCTTTTTATTTAATTCTTTTCATTCGGCAAGACAGGTATACCAAGCTTCCCTAGTAAGATATATGCATTAGCAAATGTTTGCTGAGTTATTGCCTCTATGACTCATGCATTCCTAATTTTCAAGTTCTAAGAGAAACCCTTAGTTCTATTTCAGTGTGTGAGGCACAAATACAAACACCCTGTGCTCTTCTTTTGATTTGTCTCCAGGGAGACCTTTCTAGAGCTCCACAGACACTAGGTTTCTGCTGTCCTCACTAAGGTTGACAATACTTCCTTTTCATCATTTTTGCTAATCCATATATTAGACCTGTGCAAATTTGGTGAGAAAAAGAGTAAGAAGTGATTTGCTCAAAGATACACTCCATAATTTTGGCAGTTAGCCTTAAATAAGGCACTGTTCCACAACAAGCTCAAGGTTATGGATATTTGAACTCATTTCCCCCATGTGGAGCTACATGATTGAATTCTTTAATCAAATTTGGAACTATTAGATCCAAAACCCAAATCCAGGACTCAGCAAGAAAAGAGTCAAAGGAAAAGAAGATTTTAAAAAATTCTTAAAATTTATAGTTTTCTCTGTTCTTTGTCTATAATTATTTAAATAAAATTATCCTTTAGCAGGTGACAAAGGACTTCAGTAGATTAAAGTATGCCACATTATTTGAAAAAATGAAAGATGTTTGACATGTTACAAAATATCCATCCACCTCTCCCGTTTTTGCAATCTACTCCAAGTCTAAAATACGGTTGAGGACGATGGTGCAGGAGGACTTTGGAGACAATTTCTTCTGAATCACTAAGCTCTATATTGAGATCATAACAAAACAACAACAATAGAAAAATAAAAATGGAAAGAGAAGAAGGAAAGAGAGATGGAGAAGAGGAAAAGAAAAAGAGGGAGGAAAGGGGAGAGGGAACTGAAAACACTTTCTTGAAAATGAGACACACATGATAGTCGTTTTCCCTGCACCGTTAGTTCCCAGCAGGGCTGTGATCTGGTCTCTGTGGAAGGTGAGGGTGAGTTCTTGGACAGCCACCTTGTGACCTTCATATTCCTTGGTCACAGATATTAGAGTCACTCCTGCCGTATCTCCTTCCAGCTTTCCTGGGCCATTTTGCTGTGAGAAGCCTGCATAGAGAATGGGCACTCATCATGAAAAGGTTCCAATAGCCTGGAAAACAATGCCAACACTATCCAATCATCTGTTCCTTTGGACCAGAATCCTGGCTCTGGGATGCATGCCAAGAACTTCCACAGTCTTCATTACCGAAAACAATGAGCAAGATGTGTAATGGCAAAACTGACTGAAGCCGCTGACAACAAAGCTTTGATCTCTTATGATAGGAGAACCACTGTGTAAAGAAATACAAATAGATGCACACAAGGATTCTGTAGACATGGGAAATAAACAGGCTATTTACACATCAATGTCCACAGGAAATCTGGCATGGGAGTAGGTAAGGGATGGTGGGGGTACATTCTGCATTTCCTAACCCATCCAAAATCTACTTCATTAATTAGAGTTTAAATTACTTTCCAGTATTCACTCAGAATACAAATCCAGCAAGGCAGGATCTAGCTGGTTCATGGCGGCCCACCTCCATTTGCAGGGACTTCCCTGTGAGTGACTCTTGTGCCTGAACCATAAGCAAAGATCATGATCATGTAGAGTGACTGACTTTGCTGTTTAAGAACATTTACTGTCATAAGAAACATCCCTGGTTTTATGAGGAGAATCATAGAAGCTAGAACATGTGAAATCATTTTTTAAGTTTAAGGGTGTTATAGTTGGCAGCTGCTTGTCTTTTCTTTTAGTTTTCTTACACCTGTTCATTTCAAATTTTAGCAAACAGAAATATATGTACAAATACAGACAATACACAGAGATGAACACTGTAAATAACAGGTGATGGGACAATTCCCAGGTTCCCGGGTCTATGCAGACATTACCAAAGCATTGTAGCTTAGCCAAGTGGTTGATTCAGAACCCAGAGCAACACAAATGAGGGAACCTTGGAATCTGTCCAAAACAACAAGTGCCTATATAGCAGTAAAAAATCAAAACGGACCAGAGAAAGATTCATCCAATAGAGCTTCTGGTTACCCACCTTTGTTGCCAAAATCCTCGTTGAAGAAGAATAGACCAGAACTCAGAGAGCATTGTCGCTTCTCCATCAACCCACACACACTTTTCCAATAGGATGCAGTGAAGGGAAAATACCACGGTTTCCCTAAACCAAAAGTTCCTAAGAAATAAGATACAATTAAAATCAGAATCATTATTTTTCCTTGTATGTGAAAATTCTGGAGTACATAATCTTAATTAATCCAGATGAAATGTCATTCTTTTTTTTTTTTTTTTTTTTTGGTTTTTCGAGACAGGGTTTCTCTGTAGCTTTGGAGGCTGTCCTGGAACTCACTTTGTAGACCAGGCTGGCCTCGAACTCACAGAGATCCACCTGCCTCTGCCTCCCGAGTGCTGGGATTAAAGGCGTGCGCCACCAACGCCCGGCCTGAAATGTCATTCTTATTAATAAATTTCAATATGCACCACATACGTAAATCAATCAAACAATGGGATAGCATGTCCCCTTTTGAGGGGAACCCTAAATATTCCACCTTGGGTCAAGCCTCCCTCAAATCCACTTTCCTCAAGTGGCCTAGAGATATACACTGTAAACTCCAATAAATGCTGGGTACTCCACTAGGAAAGTCCCTGAGTGCTGCCACTGGCCCCTGGGATGCTGTTGCTCTCTTTTGACCTGTCCTTGATGCTTGCAAGGGTTACTAGATTAGAGGAACATGAAGTCAGTGCTGGAGAGAATTATTCAGAAAGAACCCCTACAAAGAAGGATAGTTAGTAACTCCAGCCACTCCGTATGAATCACATCCACGTTCTTTAAACACACTCTCCAGACTCGCCTCAGCCCATCTATCCCACGTTTCACACAGAAAGAAATAAAAGGGTCTCTACTCTGGACTCCCATAGAACAATGTGAGGTGCACTCTCACCCTGAACTCTTGGGGAGGGTCTAGGCCCTGCCCTATATGAAATGACAGACTATGGACACCCCCATGGAGGGCCTCACCCTCCCTGGGGGAATGAGGGGATAACGGGGGGGGGATGGGGGGAGGACACGGGAGGAGGGGAGGGAAAGGGAGAGGGACCTCGAACTGACTTGTGAAGCAACCTTGTTTCTTATCTAAATTTAAAATGGAAAATAAAAAAAATAAAAAAAGAAAGAGCTAAAATAGTTAAAATAGCTCAATATTTTAAAAACTCACAAGAACTAGGTAATAGATGCTAAACAATAACTAACCATAAAAATCTATTAATTTGATTTAAGAAATATGTGGTTAAGCCTTGGACAGTCCTATGTTTTGATTAACCAAGGATGATTCTGTGTTTTGATTAACCCTGAACAACTTTATGTGTTGGATTTCTGCATTACTGTGCCAAGTACCAATAATGTTATCTGTTTGGGTTTGCTTCAGAGAAACATCCCCTTGCTTGAGAACTGCAAAATACACTCATACTCAAACTGAAAAAAAAAAAAGGGTCTCTAATTATTCCCATGTCCAAATCTCCTATAACAGCCACACATTCCAGCCTAAGTGCAATTTGGGAAACTTACCTGAAAGCCTAAACTAGAACAGTGACTTGGACTAAAAGGCCCCACAGGACAAGATGTCAGTACTTTGACCATCCAGCAGAAGAAAGACATGCGAACGCTTACATACTCTAACCAGAATTTCAAATAGATGGTAACATCCTCAAAAGAGAGTGAAGGGCTACAAAAGGATCTAGTATTGGTTCATGCTGTTGTGTTTGCTTCTATCCCCAGATTCCTTTGCCAAAACCCTAATCCCTAGTCCTTTGGGATGTATGTGTTTTTGGAAAGGTGGTCTTTAAAGGAAGTAGTTATGGAAAAATGAGTCAAAGGGTGAGTGCTTTTGTTTGTTTTTTCCTTGGTAGAAGAAATTTAACAAAAATTTTTAAAGAAATAGAAAAATCACCATGTGTAGACTTACTATATTTTAATTTTTAAAAACGTTTTTAGTTAAAATAGAATTAAAATGCTCCCTTCTTCCTCTAGCTCCTCCCAGCTGTCCTGGCTCAAGCTCCTCCCAGTCTCCCGCCCAAGTTGATAGCACCTTTTCTTTGGCTATTGTTATATATGTACACAGAGAGGTATAATATGAACATAGATACGTGTATGAAAATATATGTAAAGACAACTTGCTGAATCCATTTTTTATTGTTTGTGTGTATGTAATCTCAGTGCTGACCTCTTTTCATTGGATAATGAGGAGGTTAATCCCTTGAGGAGACTAATTCTCCCTCTCTTAGCAGTCATTGGTTGCTTGTAGTTCTTTGTGTGGGTTAACATGTCCATTAATACTGCCATTGTTCCAGGCTGGTCAAAGCAATCCCCCAGAGCAGACTGTTTCACAGCAGACTTCCTGGTATTCTGTCTCTCACAATCATTCTGCCCTACATCTGTGATGTCCCATGATTTACAGATGCAAGAGCTATAGGTATACTTGTTGGGCCTGGGCTCCCCATATGTTGATCTCTTCATTTTGCCCAGCTGTGGTCTTCTGTGTTGATCTTCATTAGCTGTAAATGGAAGCTTCTTTGGTGAGGGGAGATAGCTTCACTTCTCTGTGGGTATATTGCTTAGCAATGTTCACTCATAACACTTGGGAAATGGGAATAACCTAAATGTCTTTGACAGATGAATGGGTAAGTATTGTGTATATACACAATGGAATACTATTCAGCCATAAAAAATGAGATCATAAAATTTTCAGGTAAATGGACAGACGTAGAAAAGATCCTATTGACTAAGGTAATAAGACAAAGACAAATGCTGTATGTTCTCACTGATCTGTGGTTCCTAGCTCCAAACCCTCAGACATGAGTATATAACCTGGAGTAACCACATCAACCAGGACAGTATAAACAAGTATGGTGGCTGCTGGGAGGAAAATAGCAAGGGCTTGCCCAAAAACAAAGTTGGCTCCAGAAGCTTCTACTCTCACCTTACCTGTCTATGTAAAGGTATAACACAGGTATACCAGCAAGAAGATCTCGGGGTATGGTTTCACACAATGTTCCCTGGCCTCAAACAAAAGAAGGAAGCTCATCTCATCTTTGGGTCCCAGCTTAATCACAAATTATTCAATAAGCTTCATCACACACAAGCATGAACAATGAATTTTTGGAAACAAAAGAGATAGCAAGCAGACAAATACAATGGGAAATTATTCTGCATTTGCCAGCTGCTGCCCCCAATCTCCCATCCTTTCATGAAGTGGCAGTGTCCTACCGAGGGTCTTCTTAAGTATGCATATTCAGCCACCCCTGGGGACAATGGGAATGGGACAAGTAGCAGGACTCGGATGCTGAAAGCACTTCCAGGTTTTGAATTAGTGATTGAAGTTCTAGACGGCAAAAACAACACTGAGGTGTAAACACACTCTGAGTGTATATAGTCACCATTCTGCTGTTTATAATGGGAAAGAACTGAAGCTAGGCTTTCAAAGTAGAAGAAACCAGGAGACTCTTATTTTTGTTTAGTGGCATGTTGAATAGCCATTCATATCTTCAAAGATGTGACTAGATGACACTTCTTTTCAAACAGAAGGAAATGTATAGATGTAGTATGAGCACAGTGATGTGCAGAAAGGTATCTGAAGCAGAATGGAAATGGTATTGCTGTTTCTAGTTGATAGTGTTGGAGACAAATGTCTATTTTTTTCTGTTCCTTCAAAAAATGTAAGAATGTATCAAAGATTTTACAGTCAAAATAGGCTGGTGCAACAAATTGCAGTTCACATTTTCAGGATCAGCAGGAAGGAAGGAACAACTCCTCCACACACACTAGAGGTGACCCCTGCTGCAACCTGCCTGTTCCAAGGAAGCAACTGAATATCTTCACGCACTGGGAGTATCAAAACGAAAGCCGAAAAGCAAAGAAAAGCGGGAATCCACTTTACTTAAAGTACACGTTACAAAGGCATCATCATGCAATGGCTTTCAAAGCCATGACTGTGATGCGCACACACATGGTTGAATGCACAAGAATACACATATGCACACAATCACGCACACTTGCAACACTGGAATAGTTAATGGTCTTTTCCTGTAGGACTAGCTCATGGGAGACACAGCTGAGAATGGATAAGGCATGCCTCCTGGGGAGGAAAAGGAGGAACTTGAGGCTCTTCCCAGGGACACAGTGCCAACAGGCCAGCCCAAAAAACGAATAGAGCAAATGAGGACGCAGCTCAATGCAGGGAGCCTGAGGTCATCTGAGCCCATAGCATCCTGTTCCTTGTTTGGCTTGTTCCCAGTTTCATCCTCCTGTTCCAGAGAGTTGCCTGTCATATCGATGAAATCTCCATCAGCTGACTCAAGGCCACACACGTGGATCAGGCCCAGACTTGTGTCCTTATGATTTTTGTACTAGTGAATATGACAAGCACCCCAGAGAAAACTCAGCACAAGGCAGCATTGCAATTTCAGGGTCTCCATAGATACAGAACAGACAGATGCAGGCAGGGAAAGATCTGAGAAAGCAAAGCCAGAAAAAAGCAAGGAAAGACGGTAAGAGGTGACAAATACAAAAACCAGATACCCAGCTGGATTTGAATTGCAGACAAACAACACATCGTGTTTTATTATATCACCCAAATGCCTGTAGCTATCTGAAATTTGAATTTAGCTATGTCGACTTATTTTATCTGGGTATCAGACACTGCTTCCCATGCTAGTGAAGCAGAAAGTCAGGTACTAATATACATTGGGGGAAGTCAAGGTCACCTGAGTTATTCAGGTCATGGAATGCATTCCTGCAGCATTGTGAAGTCAGGAAAAACTCTCAGTATGGGAAGATTGAGTCCACCTGGTCTGGAAGAACTATAACTAAGGTCCACACAGAGAGTGCACAGCAGAAACTGGGGGATAAGGGGAGACATAGAAAGGAATTACGTGATCAAATGGTCCTGAGCAGGAATGACGAGACCTGGGTTAGGATGATGGCTTCAGAAACAGAAAAAAGGAACAAACTATGAGAGGATGTTCAGTTAGAACAAATGAATCTGTGGATAAATTAAAGGTTGACTCTCTAAGTCATCACAGGCATAATCAGCGCAGTCTCTGGAAATCCTCTTAGAGAATTGATCTCTCTCTCTAAGGCTGCCTGAGCTATGTGAGGGTGACTGCCTCTCCACTCAGGTCAGGGATGTGCTCTCCCTTGGAGGTCAGAATTTATGTGCATGTTCCAGAAGTTCATGCACACTACTCACATTGCCAAGTGTTACTGGGCACAATGTGTGGGGAGGTCGCAGTATATGCCAAGCTAAATTCTCCAGGGGCACCACACATTGGAAACTAATTATCATCACCTGCCCCTCCCCTTGAAATAACTTCCCTTGCCTCTACAAAGGAAGATGTCATTGAAAAGCTCAGTTCTGGTGAGGCTAAATGTGACTCGAGAATACAAAGAAGAGTTTGTGAAATGAAAACTCTGAGAGAGGACAGATGCCATTCGTGAGCTCTCAAACAGAGAGCTTGGCCTCTGACATAGGGCCCTGCAGCCTGGGAAGTTATCTGATACACTTCCATATGGGAATTAAAAGGGTTTGCTTCACACCGGTGGGTTGCTATGTACCAAAGAAAATGAAGATAAAGTATTTCTTTGGAGCTTGGTATGTATATATTTGTGTGTAGAGGTATATGTATGATAGACACGCAGACTGAGACAGAGAAAGAAGTCCATATATTGACAACTTTCTGAACACAGGATATTTTCCAACAGTGATTTCAAAGATAATGATATTCTCTTTGGGGTATATTTATCAACATCATCATCATTTGTATCTATTATATACATTACCACTTTATAACAGCAACTGCTATTAAAAAGACAGATTTCTATTAGCAGCTCCCAGAGAAGTCAGCAAAGCATACTCCCCAGGAGTATGAGGAAGAGCAGGGAGAGTCAGGAGACATAGGGAACAAGAAGAGAGTGTGAACACGCACCTAAAAGTGCATTTCAAGGGACAGAAACAATGAGAATGAGCATGTATGTTTAGAATTGGTTGGACTGTGTAATTTCATTATATTGGGGAGGAGGTCAAAGGTTATCTCCAGTTTTCTCATACTTAGGGGGACTAGGAAAATGAGAGAACCTGAGTGTGTGTTGTTTACATCCATACCACTGTGCCATCATTGTCAACACGGAAGTCTTAATTACTCTTCTGTTGCTAACCAAGAGCAGTTTATAGGAGAAAAGGATTTTAGTTTTAGAGAAGATATAGTCTATCATGGAGGGGAAGGCATGGTAGCAAGAGTGTGAGGCCATTATGGACATCAGGAATCAGAGAAAACACATTTTGTCTCGACACAGTAAGCAGAGAAAGAGAACGAGAAACTGGAGCCCTCTAAGCCCATCCCAGCAATGTACTTCCTCCAGAAAGGCTTCCTCTCCTAAGACTTCCATAATCTTCCCAAACAGCACTACCAACTGGGGATGAGTTGTTCTAATACATGAGCCTATGGGAAACCTTTGCATTTAAACCACACCAGTGAACCCAGTGGAGTACTGGGTCCTTGATGAAGCACACCAATACTTTACACACAACATTCTTTTAAAAAGAAAGTTGATATTAAAAAACTCTTGCATTGCAACTGCTGATAGCAAAGCTCCCTATTATTTTTTAGTCTTACTCACATGCTGTCTAGAATACCTTCCCATGCAGTGTCTCTGCAGTTCAATTATCTTACATCACTGTCTCTGTGTCTAATCCAACCCATCCTCTATCCTATCACCTATTAGAAATACATTTCAATATGTCTACAACTCTGGACCATGCCTGAAGCCACTCTCTTGGGTTGGACCTCCAAGGCAAAGAGGCAGTTTCTTCTACCCACCATCATTGATTAAATATCACTTGTCATTTCTCTTTCGTGTTGTGACTAAAATAGGACCTTAATTTTTATTTAGCTACCCAGCTAGGCTTTCTTATATGTTTTTTCATTTCAATGGAGAAGGGGGATAACAGAAAATATTTGTCTTGAAAAGAAGCTATGAGCTTTGAAAACTATTAGAAAGAATGTCCATACCCATCTACAGACTATAAAGCTTTTAGCATTTTCTAGCCATTTTCTTCTGGTTATTATTGGCAGACTTTGTCAAAGTTGAAAATAAGTGCCTTCTATACTTAAAGGGTATGTAATCTGCCAGCTCTAATTTTTCTTCTAAGTTTTAAAATAGAAGAATTGGCAATTTCATGATATATAGAGAAAGGAATCATTTTTGCCTTTGTCTTTCTCGATGTCGTTTATTTTCAAAATTGTGTTCTAAAGATTTTGCTGCTATGATTCTGCTCTGAAATTAACTGCCCATGTTCCTTCACACCTAGCTAAAGGATGAAATTGGCAATACAACTGCAATAGCCCACCAATTAAATTCCTAATCATAATATAGAGATAGGATCTTCCAATTCAAAGGTGTCTTGTTTGTGTTCTCACACCTGATTCCCTTTGTAGGGAGGAGAATCCAGTCTAGTTGGGACTCACGAACCATCAAGGGACACAGAACACCTTTACAACCACATAGAAGAAAAAGTGGAGACTTTCCCCAAAGCAGGTATCTGGCATGTTGAGGGGAGACTTAGAAACCATATAACTCTATTGTGGATATGATAAGATGATAACAGGTATTAAGATGTCTCAAAGCTCCTGTATGTCAGGGGTGGAAGCTGCAGGATGGGTGTGTGGAGGTGTGGGCTGATTTCTCACCCCTAACCTAGGAGGAAATGGTAGAATGAGGAGCCTGAGGAAATGAAGAGCAGAAGTTGATGAAAAGGAGTCAAAGATTCTGGCTGTACACTATGAGTTCCAATCCAAGTACCATAGCACAGTGTAACCCCAAAAGCCCATGAAATTCCAAATGAAAACCAGCTTTGGCATTTCCATCTGTCCATCCTTAAAGAAGATGACTCTGAGCCCCAAGATGACCTTCTTTAAATTTTAGGGAAGAAAATACTCTCTGCAATTACCAAAGTGTGGTGTTACCCTGACACAGTGCCAGTTTCTCATGGGGCATTCCCACCAACACTAGTATTTTCCAAGCCTTGTGGACACTCTCCATAAATTCAGCTGTATTTGCTCTTTCTTCTCAAAGGGGTCTTATGTGTGGACACTTTTGTAATATCAACCACCTACCTCAAGGCTGGAACTTTTTAAATTGCAATGAAGCATATACCATGCTTATGTGCATAATGCATGTTCACACCACATCTCCAGATCTATACTCTCATGACTCCTGAAAGCATTCTGTCCTTAATGCATCAGTCACAAGCAGAGTCATGCTTATTTGGCTGGTTTATTTCATGCAAAGCCTGTGCAAGTGTCAGAATTACCTTTCTTGCTCTGGTTAAACAATGGTCCCTTCTATGAACATACCGCAGTTTCTAGATTCATTCATTTGCTGTTACTACCTGGGGCTGCTTCTACCCTTTGGCCCCTGTGAATAGTATTAAATGACTAGAAATGTACAAACATCTATTGTAGGCATTGCCTTCAATTCCTTCAGGGTTCAGTCTTGTGTGATTCCTGCTGTTGCAAGAAATCTCTTCTAGCAGAATCATTTCTGTATCTTTGCCCTGCTCCCACCCCCATAAGATATTTTCAGCCTCTCCCATGACACTCATGTCTCATTCTCTGGAATTCTCTAGAAAGCCTGTAACCCCTGACCCTGTTCTGGGGTGTCTCCTTCTGAGTACTGCCTTTGTAAAGGTTCGCTCCTCCTTTGTCTAGGTAGTGATCACTGGTGTCTAGAGATGCCAGAGGTGGAAAGATTTAGAAATATGAAAATCTCATACCAGAACACCCAAGGTACTCCTGAAAGGGGTCACATCCACCTGCAAGTTCAGGCCACAAATACATCTTCGGGAATGGGAAGCAAGCCTGGAGGGTGCGAATGAATATGAACCACGCACAGGTGGAGGAAAGAAAGACAACTCCAGACAGTGCTGTGGGGGGGGGGGCTGAGCAAGACCTTCTGATTCAGAGACGACATCTTGGGATTTGGGGATAGGAGAAGAGAGTTCATTTCTAGTGGAGCTCATCCAATAACCTGGGCCATTCTCTCTTTTTGAAAGCACTTTAAACTGCATTTACTCATTTGTGGTGTGCGTATGTTGTGTGCCATGGCAGACACGTGGTGAGCAGAGGAGCACTTGTGACATTCTTTCTTTTGCCATGTAGGTCCAGGAGTTCAAATTCAGGATGCTATCCTGAGCAGACCCTTTACCCACCAAGTCAGTGCCTGGCCCATCATTCTTTTTAAACAGTTTTGTGTTTAGTATTGCATAAAACTGAAAATCTTTTTGTACACTGAAGCAAGTGATCACCAAAAAGCAAGGACGGCTGACAAAACAGGGGAAAAAATGTTTGCAATCCCCACATCTCATAATGCATAGGGTACTCCTACAACTGAGCAATCAGAGAGCAAATTATTCCATTCTTTTAAAGGCCACATGTCCTAAACAGACATTTCTTCTGGTAAGACATACTAATATCCGATGTGTTCATATAAGGTATTCAACATTACTAATCAAGTAAAGGCAAATTAAAATCACAATATTATCTCACACTCCCTCAGGTGGCCATTGCAAAAAGAAAAAGAAAAAAGATTAAACTATTAGTGAGGATGTAAATAAAAGAAACCCTTGCACACCTTTGATATCAATGTAAAATTAGAATACACGAGAGAATACAAAATGGAGATTCATCAAAAAACTGAACACAGAACAGCTGCATGATCGAGAAGTTTGTATCTGTCTACACAAAGGCACTGAAACCAATTTGTTGAAAATACATATGCACATCTCTATTGGTGACTTCACTACTCGAATGACCAAGACATGAAGTCAGTGTAACTCTCCTTTCATAATGAATAAAGGAACAATGAACTCTTTCACATATAAAACAAATATTATTCAATCTTAAAAAGCATATCCTGTCATTCGGGATAAGAGAAATGAACCTGGAAGAACATTATATCCAAGAAACTCTGACACGGAAAGACAGTTTTACATGAGACCACCTGTATGAGAAATCCAAAATAGTTAGACACAAAGGGCTCCAGGGGATAGTGACTACCAGCAGATATTTTGGGAGGAGATCAACATATTGACCACACTAACATACAGTTCCATTATGTGTGATGCATAAGAGTTTATCTGGACTGTATGACACTGTCCCTGCAGTTAACAACCATCATGAACACTTTGAAATCATGCTAATTAACTCCCAAAATGTGTCCCGACCCATGATAAGTAGTTGTATGCCCCAAACCAGATACTTAAGTATATTTTTTCCTTTACTAAACCATTTAACATTTTGAAAGCACTGTATAGTCCATTTGTATTGTTACTAAAAATTGATACTATATAATGTTAGTCAATTTGGCATTGTCACCATTATTTTTTCCTTTCAGCTTACATATACCCACACTTAATATTATCATTTTTAGCACATTTGCCTACTAGAGGAGAAAAAGTCATATTCTATATATTTATAAACATATGTTTTTGTGTGATATCAAACCTTTACATAAGTTTATTAAACATCCATTTGGGGGTTTGTTTTCCATGTTTATTATTTTTCCTTTTTTATTTAAATTAGAAACAATCTTGTTTTACAGTTCCCTCTCCTTCCCCTCCTCCTCTGCCTTCCACTGACCCACTATCCCATCTCCTTTCTGCTCCTCAGGGAGGGTAAGGCCTTCCATGGGGGATCTTCAAAGTCTGTCAGATGTCTCAGCCATTAAAGGTTAGGCTCACAACCAATTTTTTTTATTTTTGAGATTAAAATATAATTCCAAAATTGCTCCTGTCCCCTTCCTCCTTCCAAACCTTCCCATATGCTCCTTCCCACTCTCCTTCAAATTTATGGCCTCTTTTTTACTAGTTTTTCTTTCATGTAAATACATACATACAAACATACACACATGTATGCATGTAACTAAATAAAACCTGTTCAGGGTGTTTGCTCTAAGATTGTACCTCCTAGTAACATTTTTTGATACATGGTCTGTCTACATAATCCTGTTGTTGAATTCACTATGTAGACCAGGTTGGCCTTAAATTCACAAAGATCTTCCTGCCTCTGCCTCCTAAGAGCTGAGATTAAAGGCATACAAATATTTTTTGTTTTCTAACAAATGATTTGTTAGAATTTCTGTTGAGCCGGGCGGTGGTGGCGCATGCCTTTAATCCCAGCATGCGGAAGGCAGAGGCAGGTGGATCTCTGTGAGTTCAAGGCCGGGCTGGACCGACAGCCTCCAAAACAATACAGAGAAACCCTGTCTCATAAAAAAAAAGAATTTCTGTTGAAATATATCTTTTTAATTTTTAACTTTAGAAATTTAGCTTTTAAATAGAGCTATGAAATTTTTATAAGCTTATAAATTTGCATGTAATTTTATTTGTATAGTTTTAAATGCTTGTTTAAATCATTATAGTGAGTTCTTGATTTTTTAGTGTTTTTGTTATTTATTTATGACTGACATCCTGTTAAGGAAGGCCTTTCCTTTTTTTTAAATCATACATTTCCTATTACTTTATTATTTTCAGTGTTTTTTTTCTGTAGTGCTGGAAATCAAATCCAGTGTTTTACACATTCTAGATAAGTTCTCTGCCATTGTGCTATATTCCAACTCTCCTCACTATTTTAATACTATTCATTTATAGCACATTTATGGGTAGAAGTTAAATGTTTTTTCTCAATAGTAAGTTTAATAATTGAACAGCGCAAGCTGCATACCCTTGGGTGGGTTACACGGGCTTTTCGTCTGTTCCTGTGTCTATCTAACTCCCATCCCTACATTGTTAAGGACAGAAGCTAGATGAGCACGCTATTACTGAACTTCACTCCCTATCTCAACCTCTCCATCTTTTTAAAGTTTATTTTATTTACAAATGTGTACGTGCATTTGTGGATGTGCATGCATGCTTTCATGAACACATGAATATAAGAGTGTATGTGCATGCAAGTATCTCTACCTCTGTGTCTTCTGTACATCTCTCTGTGACCTTCTGTGTCTCTCTCTCTGTCTCTCTGTATCTCTCTCTCTCTCTCTCTCTCTCTCTGTGTGTGTATGTGTGTGTGTGTATGTGTGTGTGTGTGTGTAAGTACAGTTCCCATGGAGACCAGAAGAAAGCATCATATATCACAGAACTGGAGTTACAGCTGACTGTGAGCAGCTCAACATGGGTGCTAAGACAAATTTCAATCTTCTGAAAGCAAGGACATGCTCTTAACTACTAAGTCGTCTCTCTGGGCCCTCAATTGCTCAACCGAATTTATATAACTATCGCCCTATTTTAATTCTTATCAATGCACAGAGAGATTTTGCATAATTACCAGCCTCTATCATTTCTCATTATTATTTATCAGTTTTGATTTTGTTATTAATTTATATTTCCATATATCCTTAGAAATATTTTGTCAATTAAAAACAAATCACTACCTTGGGAATTTTTTATTTAAATGATTTATGTATATCTCACTATATTACATTGACATAATATTCCTATTAAGAACCACAGAATTTGAAACTATAAAAATCTGTACATTTAT